GTAGTGCCCAGGGATGTCTAGGTTAGGTGAGTTAGACATGGGAAATCAGGGATGGTGGGATGCTCTTCGGAGGGGTGGTGTGGACTTGTTGGGCCGAATGGCCTGTTTCCACACTGTAGGGATTCCATGATAAGTTTGGTGGAATCCCATATTGAGTGCATATTGCCTCTTGGCACTTTTAATAGCTTCTTAAAATGACTTTGCTGCCGATTGGGAAACATCATATTTTTTCTTTTCTTTATGCAGACAAGACATAAGATTAGGCCATTCGGTTCATTCCGTCAGCTCTGCCATTTGATTATGTTTCTCAACCCCATTCTCCTGCTTTCCCCCATAACCCTTGATCCCCTTACTAATCAAGGGCCTCTCACTCTCTCAAATACACTCAATGACTTGGCCTCCACAGCCCTCTGCAGCAATGAGTTCCACAGAGTCACCACTTGCTGGCTGAAAATATGCCTCTTATCTCAGTTCCAAATAGGTTGTCCCTTCACTATGAGGCTATGCCCTCAAGTTTTTCTCCTACTGGTAATAACATCTTCTCAAAGTCCACACTATCCAGGCCTCTCAGAATTACATAAGTTTCAATGAGGCTCCCCCCACCTCACCCTTCTAAACTCCGAGTATAGACATGGAGTCCTCAACCACTCCTCACATAACAAATCCTTCATCCCCAGGATCATTCTTATAAACTTTCTCTGGCCCCCCTCCAACACTAACACATTCTCCCTTAGATAGAGGGCCCGAAACCGCTTACAATATTCCAAATGCAGTCCGATCAGAGCTTTATACAGCCTCAGCAGTACATCTCTGCTCTTATATTCTAGCCCTTTTGAAATGAATAGTAACATTGCATTTGCCTTCCTAACTGCCAATTGAACCTGCATATTAACCTTAAGAGGATTCTGAGCAAGGACTCCCAAGTCCCTTTGTGTTTCAGAGATCAAAGCCTTTCCATTTAGAAAATAGTCTATGCCTCTATTCTTCCTACCAAAATGCATTACTTTACTCTTTCTCACATGTATTCCATTTGCCACCTCTTTGCCCACTTTGCTAGCCTCCCCAGGTTCTTCTGCAGCTTCCCTGCTTCCTCAACACTACTTGTCCCTCCATCTACCTTTGTGCAAACTTAGCAACAATGCCCACAATTCCTTCATCCAGATTGGTGGTGTATAACATGAATAATTGTGGCCCCAACACTGACCCCTGCAGAACTCCACTAGTCACCGGCTGTCATCTTGAAAAAGACCACCTTTATCCCCACTCCCTGCCTTCTGCCAATCAGCTAATCCTTTATCCATGCCACTACCCTGCCCTGAAAATCATGGTCTCATCTTATTTATAGGCCTCCTGTGCGGCACCTTGTCAGAGTCCTTCTGCAAATCCAAACAGATCACATTCACTAGCTCTCCTTTGTCTAACATACTTGTTACCTCCTCAAAGAATTTTTAATAAATTTTTCAAACATGGCATCTCCTCAATGAAGCTGTGCTGACTTAGCTCTATTTTACCATGCACTTCTAAGTACTCTGCAATCTTACCCTTATTAATGGATTCTATAATCTTATCAATGACCAAGGTCAGGCAAACCAGGTATATAGTTTCCTGCCTTCTGCCTTCCTCCCTTCTTGAACTGGCGAGTTACATTAGCCATTTCCCAGTCATCATCCCTGATTCCAGTAATTAGTGAAAGATTACCTCCACTATCTCCTCAGCTACTTCCTTCAGAAATCTGGGGAGTAGTCCAACTGGTCTGGGTGATCCATCCCCCTTCAAAACTTTCAGATTCCTCAAAACCTTCTCTTTAGTGCAAATCAGAAGATTGTTTTCTTTGCTGGTTACATTTAACTGGAAGGATCTGTGATTGGAGAACTTAACACTTCGCACTAATTACAGAGTGAGCATCATCACCGGTACAATGGGCAATGGAGCTGTTTTTGCACTGCAATCATCTCCAGGTCTTAAATTTAAATCTTCAGTCAATTCTCATCTTATTCTGTTCTACCTTGGATAGTAGCTGAAGCACCTACTTTGGTCCTACTCTAGAATTCCTTATCTAAACCGTTCCATCAGTTTGTCCATTGTAAGAAAGCAGCTGCAAATTCTTTATAGGACCAAGGTTTCAGTCAGGTCTCATAGATGGACATCCACAGATTTGCAGTATGCTTAAAGGAAGAAAGGGGTAATTTTCTTGAAGACACAGAATTTAATCCTATCATCTACAGAGAGGTACTTTAATATTTTTTAAATTAAGATGTGTTATTATATTAGGGATTATAAATGCTTTAGATGTGTGAGAACGAAAAGATTGGCTAAGGACAAATGTGAGCCATAACAGGTGGGAACAGAATTTATTGTATGGTACAGGGAAATGGCAGAGAAACTGAAGTTACTTTATATCTATCTTCACAGATCAAGATACAGAAAATCTCCCAGAAATATTATAGGCAATCAAGAAACCTGTAAAACTGAGGAACAAAATGATATTAGTACTAATAAACAGGAAGCTAATTTGATTTTTAAGATTGCAAATCCACTGGACCAGCTTTGCTTTATTTCCAAGTTTTGAAGGTGGTGGCTAGAGATTGGACTCATTGGTGGCTATCTTGTATAATTCTACAGATTCTGGAAAGGTTCCTGCCAACTGGAAATTGGAAAATGGAACCCTACTATTTGAGGATGGAGGAAGAATGCAGAACATTCAGACATGTAGGTGCAGCAAATCATTATGCAGGCTAGCTGATAGTAATACTGGGCAAGTCTAACCTGGTCAAAATAAAACCTGGCTTTATAAATCATACTCTCATTTTTTTCAGTTGGTTACTACAATGGTTAGTCACTTAAACATACACAAGGCTACAAATGTTTGTTAACAATAGAATACAAGTTTATTACTCAAAAAGGTAAAGCAAAGCTAAAAATAGATTTCTATAAATGACAGTTATAAATATGTTAACACAGCAGGAAAACAAAATTTCAATGTTTCCTAACACTATCCTTTTACAGATACTCAATTCCAGATTTACTTCACAGATTCATAGAGTTGTACACCATGGAAACAGACCCTTTGGTCTAACTTGTCTATGCCAACCAGATATCTTGAATAAATCTAGTCCCATTTGCCAGCATTTGGCCCATCTCCCCTTAAACCCTTCCTATTCAACCAGGTGCCTTTTAAATGTTGTAACTGTACCAACTTCCACCACTTCCTCTGGCAGTTCATTCCACACATGCAACACCCTCTGCATGAAAATGTTGCCCTCAGGTTCCTTTTAAATCTCTCCCCTCTCACCATAAACCTATGCCCTCTCGTCTTGGGCTCCCCTACTCTGGGATAAAGGCCTTGGCTATTCACTCTATCCATGTCCCTCATGATTTTATAAACCTCTTTTGGGTCACTCCTCAGCCTCCAACGCGCCTGGGAAAATAGCCCCAGCCTATTCAGCCTCTCCTGATAGCTCAAACCCTCCAACCCCAGCAACACCCTCAAATCTTTCCTATAGCATGGAGACCAAAATTGAACGCAGTACTTCACTCCCATCTCAACTCCATTTTTAACTTAACTGACTCCTCTCAGTTTCTTTTCCTTAAACTGTGAAGGCAGTTTTAATGACTCCTTTCTCAGCACGCTCACATAACCTCTCTCCATTCTGATGGCCCAAACATTTTCAGTTCAACAACCTGAAGAGTTCGAGAAAAACCCTCCTGATTTGGAAGCTCCATAAAATGAAAGAACACTTTGGCGAGGGTACAGTGCTCCCTTTAAGCTGTGCGGCCACTCTGACATTCCGTGCATGGCAACTGGCAATGCCAACATGGATCACTGCTGGAAGTCATAATTCATGGAGTCGCCACCACAAACGGACCTTGGAGTTCCATGCATATGTAGCCAAGATATTTCTACTGGCTGCTGAGTCAGGTCATAATCTCAGGATAATGGCTAGGCTATTTCAGACTTACATGAAGAGGAATTCCTTCAATGAGAGGATGGTGAATATTTTGAAAGACCTGACCACATAGGGTTGTGGAAGTTCAATCACTGAGCATGTTCTAGGCAGAAATTGCTAGGTTTCTGCAGACTAATAACATCAAGGTACATGGAGACAGTGCAGGAAGGGTAGATTGAGGTAAATAGTCAGTCATGATTGCATTGAAAGGCAATGCAGGTTCAACACGCTACATAGCCTACTATTGTCCTACATTCCTCAAAGTAAGGTGGACAAATGAAGATTAGGTCATAACGTAATTGAATGGTGCAGCAGGATGAAGGGGCTGACATAATTGTTACCATCTCTAAAGTATGTAAATGAACAAGTGAAAAATATCACTCCATGTTGAAGAAACAAACTCTACCCATATGGAACTCTCAATTGGACTTCACTATCTCTTAAGCATAATGTTTACCAGTAGGCTGTCAAAACAAACTTTGTAACACACTGTGATCATCACTAATAAAAGTGCTTTATATGCTAACTAGAAAAGCTTAAATGAACAAATTAGTCAAAACAAAAATATTTTAGTTTTACACAACTCGTGAGCAGAGTTATCATGGCCAAGTGTTGTCGAACAAGGCATTTAGAACAGGAGTTATTTTCAATGTAGAGAGAATCTGAGGGAAAAAAAATGTCATTTTACGCTAGGACATGAACTGGTGCAGTCATGGGTTATTGGAGAAAATAGCAACAATAAGAATTTTGAATAAATTTAAGATTTTAATTTAACAATATCTAGTTTAACAAGATTGTAACAAATGCTGTTAATTATACCTTGATGGTACCAAAGTGGACATTGTGGTAAAATTGTATTTTTCAACGGAAAAATGAACTCAAATATTTTCTATACATTCACAATGAACTCCTAGCATCCTTTAAGACCAATCTTATCCAACAGAAAACAATGAGTCAAGGACCACATGGATAAAAATATGTATAAATTTTATGACAATTGTACTATGCATCAAGAATTCATCTCCAGAATGTAGTACATGGGCTAATACTTACGGTCTGGTTCTGACTGGTCATTAGGGCTAGTTGAGAATTCATTGTGATCACAACTTCTACCCTCATTGAAATTCCAATTGAATTTGTCCATCGTTAATTTGGTAGCAAGCTCTACTTCTTCCTGAAGTATCTTGGTTTCTTTCGTCTGTCTTTCTAGTTCTTTCCTGTACGCAGAAGCAGAAATAAATATTTTTTAAAAATTGGTTTTTGCTGCTAGAAAACATTCTAAAATGCCAATATTATCAACATCAATCACATCAACAATTTCAAAGAAAACAGCCACTGATAAATTGCAGCACATATAACAGATGAATCAGGAATACTTTTACTGAAGATTATCTTGTGCCCAACTGATGAGCATTGATAATCAGATCTTTGCTGGATTTGAATTTCTTCATACACCATAAAGAGCAGGCAGAAATCAAAAGTCCAATGTTTCTCCAAAATATTTTTTCCTCTTTTTAGTAACAATATTTTTAAGACTTTGTGCATACTTCCAGAAATGGTCCAAAAAAATTGGAACAGTATAACATAGTGCATTGTCATTAACGCTTAAATTGGCTAGCAAGGAAGAAATATCCTATGAACGAGACAGGGGAATTGAGTTTAAGAGCCACAAGGTTATGCTGCAGCTCTATAAAACTCTGCTTAGACCACACTTGGAATATTGTGTTCAGTTGCGGTCACCTCATTATAGGAAAGATGTGGGAGCTTTAGAGAGGGTGCAGAGGAGATTTACCAGGATGCTGCCTGGACTGGGTGGCAAGTCTTATGAGGAAAGGTTGAGGGAGCTAGGGCTATTTTCTTCAGAGCAAAGAGGGACGAGAGGCAACTTGATAGAGGTGTACAAGATGATGAGAGGCATAGATAGAGTGGCTGGCCAGAGACTTTTTCCCAAGGCGGAAATGACTATTACAAGGGGACATAATTTTAAGGTGATTGGAGGAAGGTATAGGGGAGATGTCAGAGATAGGTTCTTTACACAGAGAGTGGTGGGCATGTAGAATGCGCTGCCGGCAGTGGTAGTGGAGTCAGATACTTTAAGAGGCTTTTAAGCGACTCTTGGATAGGCACATGGAGGATAGTAAAATGTAGGGTATGCAGGGTAGTTTGATCTTAGTAGGATAATAGGTCGGCACAACATCGTGGACCGAAGGGCCTGTACTGTGCTGTACTGTTCTATGTTTTATGTTCTTGAACTGCAACTCTCCACAAGTTGGTGATCAATTTGCAAAGGTCTGCAGTTAGCTGTGGGACAGGATTCTCACAGTTAACCTTCCTGCAAGTGTCATGAAGTAGATGCATTTGCTACTTTAATTGTACGTCCTTCATTAAATAAGAAGTGTAAAACTGCATACGGTATTTGAACAATAGCCTCACCAATGTCTTGTACAATCAAAGCATAATGTCCCATTGATTGAGGATATAAGGCTATGGGCCAAGTACCAGAAAGTGCCATTAAAATAGATAGATGCTCGATGACCAGCACAATGAGCTGATGGGCTTCTGTGTTGTAGAATATCTGACTCTATGATCTATGTTGAATTCCCCTCAAACAGTAGCATTGCATTAGCCTTCTTGATCACATGCTGTAGCTACATACTAACTTTGTGACTCATACGTTGGAACACCTAGATTCCTCTACCACCTCAATTCTGCAGTTGCTCCCCATTCAACTAATACTTAATTTTAATAGGATTCTGAGGGAAAAAAAAGAAATTAATGAATAGATGCACTGCGGTGAGATAGCCTCAGAGAAACTAAACATTTGTAAATTAATGTTTATAGACAAAGCACTGATTGATGGATACTCCCAGAATTTTATTCATGATAAAAGGTGTCGAAGAACAGAAGGATTACAATGTTCAAACAACAGTCAACAAAATCCATTAAAAACTATTCTAATCTTTACTTTTAAACTATTAAAATCAGAAATTATGCTCATTGTTTCTGACTTTCTTAATTACCCGACCTCACCTTTATCCTTCTGACCAGTGGGCAGAGATAGGGGAAAAACTACAATATGCAGTACCTTTGAAATCAGTGTTAAACGCATCAGAAAATCCCTTCCTTAGAATCCAAAAGCAAACTTATGTAAAGACTTGGGGAGTGACTCTTGCATTCAGTGTTCCAGTTGAAAAGTGAATCTTAGAAAATTATGAAATGTTACCGGTGATTTATGTTCATTTTTTAAACAGATTTAAATTCACAGACAGTCCACACACAATATCCCACTCTACAATGTGCACGGTGGATCATCGTGTTTTATATTCTAGTTTATGGTGGGGTTGTTAAATATACAAGAACTTCTAACTTTTTCACCTTAGTCTCATCCTAAGTAATGCACTGTCTAAAGCACATTTAGTTCAGTATCACACTATGAAATAAGAATCAGCCATATATACACTTTAGTAACTCAACCTGAAACTAACCTCAATTTCTCTAAGTTTTTGCTTGGTCTTCTGCTATCAGAAATGTCTGAAAAAGAAAACCGTGTTAATCTCAAAGTTTTGTGAAGATGATAAGATTCAAATGCATTTGAATTTTATGAAAAATTTGAAAATTTCAGCATTCCTTTAAACTTGAAGAAAATCTGTGTGCCACTGCTAAAGACACTCTAGTTCAATGCATAGAACAAATTACATTCATTAATCCATTGAGTTTGATTTATATCTGTGTCAAAATCCTTTGAGAAAAGGGACAGCACTATTGACTGATTGTAATTTTCTTTACAAATTGCTCAGTAGCTGGAGTCACAATGATACATTATTAATTGGGCACCACATCATACATTGACCAAATCAACATCACTAGAACAATCCATTTAACCATTTAATCCATTTAAATTGTCACACACAGGTTTAACAAATCATATTGAATGAACAGTCAATAGCCAACAGCCACACTGGAAAATTGAACGCTACCTATTTTCCCCCTTTAAATACTTTATTAAACAAAACTACAAACATATGTACAATAATTTGTTTGAGAAAGTTGATCTCAACAGCTTTCAAATGCTGGTGTTCATGATTGACTGCGCCCAATTTCATCTAACCCCATCTGCCTTGGATATAGCCTTGATCTTTTAGTGTAAAGAAACAGGTTAATGCTTGCAACCGAATTCAGCTCCACTCAGTCTGTTGATATCATGTGGATTTCGTTGGGGTAAAGGCAGAACATCTTAGGATATCAAAATGTCTATCTTACTAAAATAACTTGCACGATTGCTGTCAGGCAACAAACTACATCTTGTTTGAGCCTCTTCTTTTCCAACTACCACTTTTCACCAATTCCGCTTAGTGAGAAAATGTGGATGGTGGCAGCTATTTACCCAACCACATGTTGGCTACAATTGGCACCACAAATTCATGAAGACAGTGAATGGTGAAGGTATTGGATAGGGTGCTAATCAAGCAGGTTTTTTTGTCCCGAATAGTTCAATCTTAGATTGTTGTCAGATCTGCATTCTTTCAAGCCAGAGGAGAGTATTCTAGCAGCATGGAAACAGATCCTTCAGCCCAACTAGCCTATGCCAACCATTATCCCAAACTAAACTACACCCACCTGCCTGCACTTGTCCCATATCCCTCCAAACATTTCTTACTCATACTTATCTAAATGTCTTTTTAAAATTGTAACTGTACCCACATCCACCACTTCCTCTGGAAGTTCATTTCACACACAAACCACTGTGTAAAAATAATTGCCCCTCATGTATTTTTTTTAAATCTTTCTCCTTTTACCTTGAAAATATGCACCACAGTCTTGAAAACCCCACCCTAGTGAAAAAAAAATCACCTGCCATTCACCTTATCTATATCCCTCATGATTTTATAAACCTCTAAAGGTCACCCCTCAACCTCCTGTGCTCCAGTGAAAAAAGTCCCAGCGTATCCAGCCTCTCCTTATAACTCAAATTCCCCATTCCTGGCAACATACTGGTAAATCTCTTCTGAACCTTCCACAACTTATTAATATCCTTCCTATTACAGGGCGACCAGAACTGGACACAGTACTCCAGAAGAAGCCTCACCAACATGCAGTCCAACTTCAACATGATATCCCAACCCCCTTCTTAAAATTAAAGCAGTGAAGACAAGCATGCTAAATGCCTTCTTAACTACCCTGTCTACATGTGACACAAACTTCAACGAATTATGTACCTGCATCCTTAGGTCTCTCTGTTATATAACACCACTCAATGACCTACTTTTAATTGTAAATGGCCTGCCTTGCTTGCTTTACCAAAATGCAATACCTTGCAATTATCAAAATTAAACTTGATCTGTCACTCTTCAGCACATTGACCCAATTGATCAAGATCCTTATGTAATCTCAGATAACTTTCTTCCCTGTCCACTAAATCACCAATTTTGGTGCCTTACAGATGGCAAACAGGCTTTGGATAGTTAAAAGATGAGTTACTTGTGTAGAATTCCTAGCCGCTGACTATGCTTAGAGCCATGGTATTCATATGCTGGTCCAGTTCAGTTTCTCGTCAGTGGTAATCACAAGGACACTGACAATTAGGAATTGAGGAACAGTGATGCCAAATATCAAGCAGAATAGTTAGATTCTCTCCTTTTGAGATGGTAATTTCTTGGCAATTCAATAGCACAAATGTTGCTTGCCACTTATCAGCCCAAGCCTGGAATTTGTCCAGTTCTTGCTATATTTTGACGTTGGCTGCTTCAGTGTCTGAGGAATCACAGATGTTGTTGATCACTGTGCAATCAGCAAGCATCCTCATTTCTGACCCAACAATGGAGGGAAAGTCAATGATGAAGCAACTGAAGAACTCGTGCAGATGTCCTGTGACTGAGCTGATTGACCTCCGACAACCATAACTGTCTGCCTTTCAGTTAGGAATGAATCCAATCAGCACCGAGTTTTCCTAACAATTCCCAATGGCTCCAGTTTTCCCCAAGTACCCCTTGATGCCTCCGGAAAGCAGTCATGTTTAAGTTGCAGAAAGCAAGATTTAAGCAGTCATTCAGGAAAAAATAAGCGGCCAGAAATTGTTCATTAGGCCACTAAAGTGGGGGCAGGGAATTGTCTATTTTACTTAAGTAAGTGGGAAGCCTACACCATGGCAGCAAATCTCTCCAGACTCTCCAGTCCAGGTTTTGCAGCATTACTATACTGCGCAAAAGATTTTAAAGACAATAAACAGCTATATATTGCTACACTGAAGATTTAAATATGTTTCAAACAACAAAATAAAACAGCATTGACATACTGCAGGATTAAAAGTCTTTGAAGCAACAGGAATAAAGCAGCAATGAGACTCTGTAAAAATAAAAAGATTTTAAAAAATAAAAATAAATAATCATACTCAGAAGAAACAGCAGGAGAAACGATATTGCAAGAAAGATTTAATTGCAGAGATCGGCCAATTAAAGTACAGAATTGGATACCTTGGAGGAAACTAATTGTTAAGATGCAGAATTGCTTCCAAGCCCAGAGCTAAAAAGAAGCTGAACAATTAAACAGAATTTGTATTCATTTGGGATTATAATTAATGTTATAGTGTGCCAAGACGTAAATGGTGCCACAGATATTTTTGATTACCTTCTACAAGCTTTTGACAACTAATTTTAATCAAAGAACAAATAAAATTCTTCAAAGAGCAGAATTTAACAGAGGTCAGCATATAACTGGCAGCAGCACAGTGGCTCAGTGGTTAGCACTGCTGCCTCACAGTACCAGGGACCTGAGTTCAATTCCATGCTCAGGCGACTATGTGGAATTTGCACATTCTTCCTGCCTCTGTGTGGGTTTCCTCCAGGTGCTCCAGTTTCCTCCCACAGTCCAAAAACATGCAGGTTAGGTGAATTGGCAATGCTAAATTGCCCGTAATGTCCAGGGATGTGTAGACTAGGTGGTTTAGCCATGAGAGATGTAGGGTTGCAGGGATAAGGATCTTTGGAGGTTGAGTGTGGGCTCGATGGACTGAATGGCCTGCTTCCACACTGTAGGATTCTATGTAAGGAATGTATAGATATTTTTTCACTAATCTGTAGATGTTGGTAATGAAACTGTGTGAATGGAGCTTTGAAATCGGAATTCACAAGAGACAATTGTTGTTCAAATTGCTGATGAATCTTTGGACTGAAATAAATCTGACAAAGAAGATGTGACTTTGGAGCAAACCATTCAGGTAAGAGAGAGATTCAATGATAATACTGTGAAGCAAACATGGCCCAGTTACTTTCTATCCTAAAAAAAAGGCGGCTTCATCTGCAAAACAACAGATAACTTCCAGAGGAGTTGCAAAAGTAGAATATAGTTATAGATCAGCAGAAAATCAAATAACTACTCACATAAATGCTAATGAGCCAGAACAAGGTGCAATAAACAGACATTCAATGTATCTCCCAGGGGAAACCGGTCATCCAAACAATTCATTTTGAGAAAAGACATTTAATGGCAATGGACATCTCATTAACTGCAAGTTTGATACTCCAAGTTTGAACAGACCTATGTATGTTTGACAGGTGCCCTTACTATTTTGCTGTCCACTGTTTTTCCACAGTGGATCAAGGTGAAAGTGTTACTTATCATGACCAATGATGGAGGTCTCAGGGTCTCGCTTAAAATATTCACTACGTATGGGTTCCCTGATGTGCTACACTAACCAGCAAGCAAATGCTTAAGTATGAAAAGGATAAAGGAAGGATCGAAAATTATTTCCTATTTGTTGCTATTGTGACAAAGGTTATCCAGAGGAAAAGCTCAATAGGTTGGCAATGAAGACCTGCGTTGAGCAACACAGCACTTCAAACTTCAGTAAGTTATCAAAAGGTATGATGAAACACTGGCTGTTCCAACTTTCCTGTGAGAAGGTATCCTAGGAAAGATACACCAGGGACACAGGCAAAGAGGGCAGAGCAAGGGCTCAATTGTCAAGTGCTGGCTAGAGATCTCAAAAGAGATTGAGGATCTTATAGCTGACTGTGAAATTTGAGCTACTCATTGGCCTGTGCAGCAAACACTTGATTCCCACTTTCCCCACCGTCATCTGTGGAATTCCCTGCCCAGTGAGGCAGTTGAGGCCACCATGTTGAATGTTTTTAAGGCAAAGATAGATTTTTGAACAGTAAAGGCATTAAGGGTAATGGTGAGCAAGCGGGTGAGTGAAGCTGGATCCACAAAAAGATCAGCCATGATGTTACTGAATGGTACAATAGGCTCGATGGGCCAGATGGCCTACTCCTGCTCCTATTTCTTATGTTCTTATAAGAAATTTGAACAGACCTATGTATGTTTGACAGATGCCCTTACTTCATTGCTGTCCAGTGTTTTTCCACAGTGGATAAGGGTGAAAGTGTTACATACCATGACCAATGTTGGCGTTCTCAGGGTCACAATGAAAATATTCACTGATATGGGATCCCTGATGTGGATGTGTCAGATAGTGGACCATAGGTTGGTAACAAATTTTTCATCCAATCTGCAGCCAGCTCTAGATTTGAAAAATTATTCAAATGTGCCAAAATGTCCACAGTTGAATGGAGAAAGCAAGTGTGAGATCCAGATAGTCAAGTCACCTTTGAAGAAAAATGGCAAGTTTTATACAATGTAATTAAATTACTGGTCCACCTCATTCCAGTGTAGCTTATTGCCATCAGAATTGCTGAAAGCTAGAAAACTGAGGACTCAACTCCTTATCTTACCAAAGGCATTGACTTCGCAATCAAGTCCACAGGGCTCTAACAATGTATGCAAGAAGGAACAACCGTGCTGGAAATAACAAGCTGCCCACTATCAGACATTACTGTGCATGACAGTTGATACACAAGAACAACAACTGGACCATAAGGTACAGTTGTTCGAGAGGCAGTGCACCAGCAGCAAACATATATTGATCATATAGCTGAGGAAGTTGAACAAAATAACCGCAGTAATCTCGTCTCATTGTGGACCATTCACCAATAGTTGATCAGGGTGAACCCAACATGACAAAATCTTAAGGATCGTTCATAGTCATTAACAGAATCAAGGTCAAAATGTCCTCAAGCTGAAGACTTATCAATCTTCCAATTTGGAAGGGAACATATCCCGAAAGAATCCTGAAACCTCCAGACTACCTGAATTTGTTCAGTCAGAGACTTGTGGGAAAGTAATTATAATTATATACATGAATTTATAAAGGTTAATTATGGGGGAAAAGCTTGGGGGAGGATGGTGTACAAGATATTATTTCTTAAAGGGTGAATGTGAAAGACATCATTAAGCTCCATCAAATTTGATGACAAAACAAGTCAAGTGGAGAAAGGCAGATCGTATTTGGATTGCAAAACGGACAGACCAGTTCAGTATCAATGTCTGACTTATTAATGTAACTTGTATTTGATCACTCATTTTAGTTTATTCTTTTACAGGATGACGGCATTGGTGGCTAGGCCAGCTTTTACTGCCCATCCCAGGGAGCAGTTAAGAGCCAACCACATTGCTGTGGGTGTGGAGTCACATGTAGTCCAGACCAGGTAAGGATGACATGTAAACTACACCTTATTTAAGATATCTTTTCTCATTAGAATATGTTGTGGTTTTCCTCTAACACTAGAAACCAAATAGGTACTGTAGACCCAATCAGAAAAGGAGGATGGTGACCGCTATCTAACTAACAACATGTTGGCATATGCTCATCCAACATTCTTAAATGAAAATATTTCCACGCAAGATTGAGATTCCAGACACATAGGACTGTGTCAGCAACTGTGCTAAGTTACAACAATATAATTTGTGTAGTAATAGACCAGATTTATATAGAGAAGTAGTTTGTTATGTTTCGAGTGTTGGTGGAGCTGTACTTAACCGTGCAAATCGAGAGCATTCTATCATAATTCTGACTTGTGCCATATTGATGGGGGAGGAACTTTGGGAAGTCAGGACTTAGTTGTGGCAGAATATCTGTGCTAGCAGGGATTCAGTGATGGCAATGTCATTGAACATCAGTTAGACTCTCTCTTGTAACCTCAGTGTTCAAGTGGCATGTATTTTAAGTCTCATTTACCAGCCCCAACTTATATGTGCAGCAAGACCTCGGCAGCAGAGACATGAACTGTTTCACTTTCCAAGGAGTTGAGACTGGTACTGAATTCTGTGTAGTCAACATCCCCACTTGTGGCATTAAGAGGGAGAGAAGTTATTAATGCAACAGCTGAAGATGGTTTGGTCTGGGACATTAGGCTTCGACATCTGTGAACATATCCCAACATGACAAGTTTGATTCCAGCCAGTGGAAAGTTATTGCCAACTCCCTCATTCTGATTTTCACTAACTTGAGTTTTATTGGGGATTCTTGGTGCCAGACTTAGTGAAGTGCTGCCTTGAGATCAAGAATAGACTTTTACCTCATTCCTGGAATTCTGTTTTACTTTGTCCATTTTTGACCAAGACTATAATGAGACCTGGAGTCAAGTGGTCCCTAAATTGTGCATCTTGCTGTGTGCAAGTGTCACTTGAGAGCACAGCTTTTGACACCAGCCATCGCTTTTCCTGTGATCGAGAGTAAACTGATCAGGTGATAACTGGCCAGATTGGATTAATTCTAGAACAAAAAAACAGAGGTTGCCAGAAAAGCTCAGCAGGTCTAGCAGCATCTTTGAAGAAAAATCAGAGTTAACTTTTCGGGTCCGGTGACCCTTCCTCAGCCAAGGCACCAGCCCTGGTTCAATGAAAAGCACAGCTGCATGTGAGGAGCAGCACCAGACATACCTAAAGATGAGTTGCCAACTTGATGAAAATGTAACACAGAGTGATATACACAGGATAAGATTACAACCTGATCTGTTTACTCCCTGAGGAAGAGTCACTGGACCCAAAATGTTAACTTTGATTTCTCTTCACAGATACTGCCAGACCTGCTGAGCTTTTCCAGCAACTTCTGTTTTTGTTTCTGACTTACAGCATTCGCAGTTCTTTCAGTTTTTATTTCGATTAATTCTACTTTTGGTGAACAGAACATTCCTGAGTAACTTTTCACATTGTTGACAGTTGCTAGTTTTGTAGTGGTATCAGAGAAGCTTGGCTAGAGGCATAGCTTACATTGGAACATAAGTCCTTAGGTAATACAGCCAGAAAACTGTTGAGAGATCAGAGGTTTTCTCAGATCCAGTGTCTTCAGCAGTTTCTTGATCACACACAGAGTGAATTAAATTGGGTGTAACGTTGGGAATATCAGGATGAGGCAAAGATGGATCATCTACTCTGTACCTCTGCCTGAAGATGGTTGCAAATGTCTTACTTTTTCCACTCGCATGCTGTGCTCCACTATTTCTAAATATTAAAAGCCTGCTCCCTATTAGATATTGCGTTGTCTGCCACCATTCATGACTACATATGACAGGACTGTAGAGTTTTGATATAATTCATTGGCTGTAGAATTACTTAGCTGTCTATAGAATGCTGCTGTGCTGTTTAGCACGTATATCATCCTGTGTTGCATTTTCTTCAAGTTGGTAACTCACGTTAGGTATGACTGGTGCTGGTCCTGACATGCACCTGTGCTTATCATTGAATCAGAGCTAGTGCCTTGGCTGTATGGTAATGATAGAGTGTAGGATTTGCCAGGGCATGATATTAAAATTGTGGCTGAATACAACTGCAATACATACTGGATGCCTAGTTTTGAGTCACTCGCTCCCTTCTGAATCTATTCCTTCAGTAATAGTGCCACACAACACGGCAGAAGGTGTCAAGCTGGGCCTTCATCGCATCACAACTTCTGCAGTGGTCAATTCTATCAGAATGATCATTGACAAATGAATCTGTGACAGGTTGTTTGGAAAGGACAAGATTATGTATGTTTTTCTCTCATGTAGGTTCCCTTACCACCTGTCGGAGGCCATGTCTGGCAAATATATCCTTCAGGACTCAGGCAGCTCTCAGTAGTGGCTCTACTAGACAAGTCTTGGTGATAGCCATTGAAATTGCTGATCACCATATTTCTATGGGTCTGAAATCACATGTAGGCCAGAAGAGATATGGACAGCAAATTTCCTTCCTTGGAAAAACATCAGTGAACTAGGTAGGTTCATCATTGATGACAGTTACATTACCACCATTACTGAAACTAGATTTTTCATTTCATTAACTAAATCTAGAATAAATTTGAATTTATTATGGCATTGATTGAACTCTCTCCATCCACATAAAAATTAATTTTACTATAAAATGGCATGCCATATAAATATATACATTATCAATTGTAGATAAGAACATCACTATTACAATAAAACTAACTGATCAAATCTTATAATCCCTTTTCTTCACATTCAGTCCACTACCAAGTGTGACAAGAACACAAGATGCAGGAGTAACAGTAGACTGTACTGACTCTGCAATTCAATACAACCATGACTGATTAATGCTTCAACTCCACTTTCCTAGTCACTCTTCATAACCCTTTTTCCTCAAGAATCCAAAAATCTGTATATCTAAGCCTTAAATATATTCATTGATGGAGAAACAACCATCCCCCAGGGCAAAGAATTCTGGATTCACAACATTTTGAGGGAAAACATTTCTCATCTCATGCCTAAATGAATGATCCCATATCCTGAGCTTGTGTTCCAAACAGAACCCAGGCTCCCACGCCAGCAGAAGCAACCTCAAAAATTCAGCCATTGTTGCATTAATGTGTTCAATCAAGAAATAAAACAGAGGATTACAAATAATCCAATCACTTACATTTACACAATGTAAATTGTTCTTTTCCAGCTTCTGAGGCATGCAGACTTGACTGACAAGACCGACAGTCAGTAGATGAAAAATGTCCACGAGCCCCTAGTGACCAAATAACATAAGTCAATATGGAACTGAATTCAGTTATATTCACTTTTTCTTGTTGCCTTTTAGTATGTGAGCATGCTTTTGCTCTTTTTAAACATTTCAGTCACCAGCTTTCCTTACACTCTTGCAATAGCAAGCTACATTAATTCACTCATTCCAAAGACAACTTCACATTCATGAAACATAATTGAAATGTTTCAATCGTACAACAATGGCAAAAACGCTCCTTTTCTGTATGTGATTTAAATTAACTGACAACAACAGTACAGCAATCAATTTTGGTAATATATTCATTGTATTAAATCAATTGCAAGTTCGCAAAAACACAAGTTAATAGCGATGTTGACGAATAAATTGTCCCACAATTTTACAGTTTGAACATTTAAGAATCTGACCTGAAAAGAATAGTTTAAAAGTCATTGCATAGGTTATGGAGGCCAAGTCACTGTGTATTTAAGAGAGAGATAGGTAGTTTCTTGATTAGTAAGGAGATCAAAAGTTATAAGGAGAAGGCAGGAGAATGGGGTTGAAAAACATATCAGCCATGATCCAACAGTGAAGTGAACTTAATGGGCTGAATGGCCGAATTCTTCTCCTGTATCTTATGGTCTTACACGAATAAGCAATTGTTACAATGTTCATCTTTGAATTCTGCCACAAGATTGCTGGTTAGTGAGTCAACAGCAGCTTTCTCCTCATGACAGAAACTAGGAACTACAACCATGAAAGAATATTACTAAGATGAAACAAATATTTTGATTAAATTATGATCCATGAGAATAAAAAGCTTAAATATGACGTTGCTCCACCACCAAATCTTCTAAATAGTCATCCACTGTTTCGCTAGACATCAATTCAGGCCATTATTAGGTGCATCAGTGTGACCTATTTGTTGACTTAGGTGCCATAATACAGATATGCTCACGCAATATTCATTTTATAAATCAACTTCAATATTGAATATTATGCAACTTAAACTAATATTAAAATTAAGTGAAGGGTATTTTGATAATAAAGTACATCCAAACCTATATGTGTCTGCAGAATCAGCAGCAATGGGATAACTTTAAAAGTAAAGAGCTTCGAGTGATATAAAGTAGTAAAAACAAAGCTGAAGTCTACTGTCTTCATTACATAACATATATTGAATATATATTTGGAAACAGAATTAAAAATTCAAGAGAAATATTACCACCACAGCTGGACAACAGTGGAAAAAGCTTCAGGAGATGCTGCAGTGACAGTGTTGTGATGGGGTATTATGACATAGTTAACAAAGAATAATTAGTTTGTGATTCACAGCAACATATAACAAGAAAATTATTTCGCACTTGGGAATTTATGGTTTATCACATTTAGGGAAATCAGAATAAATGATCTTGCTGATCAATTTTATTTAAATTATCTATTTCCTTCTTACATATATGGCACACACACATTTCCTCCAAACACTGTGGCAAGTTGAAGCACCTAGTGGCTGTTACTTGGCCACTTTAGGGGAGGCAAAACCTAGTGGTATTATAACTGGGCTACTAATCTAGAGACCTAGGTAATGTTCTGGGGACCCAGGCTCAAATCTCACCACAGCAGATAGTGGAATTGGAATTCAATAAAAATCTGGAATTAAGAATCTAATTGTTAGGAAAACCCATCTGGCTCACTACTGTCCTTTGGGAAAGGCAGCTCCCATTCTTCCCTAGCCTGACCTACCTGTGACTTCAGACCCACAGAAATGTGGTTGACTCTCAAACGCCCTCTGGGCAATAATTACTTGCCTAGCCAGCGAAGCTCTCATCACGTGAACGAATGAGGGGAAAAGAAACAACTTTGGGAGCCTTAATTCCTGTTGAGAAGGTGCCCAATTGCTGAGGTGGCAAGAAAGGACTGAGCATCACTCCAGGGCCAAGTTGGCCAATTATCTGACTGTCTCACTGCCTCCAAGGAGAGAAAATTGAATGTTTCCATCAAGAAACTGTACTAATAAAACAGAAAATGAGGTAATGTACTGAGCAATCTGGGTTGTATCCAGTCATAGCAGATGATGGAATTTGAATTTTTAAAAAAATCTAATAATGATGATTGTGAAACGGGATGGCGGGGGGAAGGCAGATAGAGGAAGCATCGAGAAAGCATGGAACAAGGGATAATGAGAGGGGTTGGGGGCAGTGTGAAAGGTAGTGGCTGTAGTCCTCCTCCCCTCATCATACCTCTTTAACCTCTCTTTACATCGAGGAGGCCCTCCATTGTGCTGTGTGGCACTACCATTGTGCTTTAATACATTTTAAAACAAATTAGACTGGGCATCTGCCTTAGATATCAATGCTTCATTTGACCAATGATGGTTACAAGGAGCCCTAACAAAACTGGAGTTATTGGGAATCGGAGGAAACTTTCCCCTGGTTGGACTCATACCTAGTGCAAAGAAAGATGATTGCAGTTGTTGGAAGCCAATCTTAATCACAGGACATCACTGCAGGAGTTCCTCAGCGTAGTGTCCTAGGCCCAATCATTTTAGGATGTTTCATCACTTGTGACAAAGGTTTTAATGCATTATTATTTTAAAACTTAGATTCTAAAGTAGAGGTAAATGGGTTTGGGTTTTCAATTCTGTGAGGGTGACATTTTTTTTCAAAAATGAAAGGTCAAAAACATTTTCTTTCAAGCAGGGAGACAAAAATATCATTCCCAAGAAATTACATGATTTAAGTAAAACAATGAGAAAGGCTATCCACTGATATAATTGAAGTTAAGATAATTGCTAAGTTAAGCATTTCATGATCCACTTAAAGAGGAGCCGGGGTCAGAAACAGTTCAGAAGACCCAGACCAGTAGATGTGCTGCTTAGCTGACTCAAAGTAGATACAGTCTCCAGTTTTAACTTGGAGTTCAGTAAGCAATGTCCAGAAGTTTGCCTGTGTCTCTCAGGGAAAGACAGTAATGGAAAGAATCACATCTGAACAATGTGCAGAAAGTTGCCGAAAGAAAATTCTTACTCGACTGGCAAGGTTACAAGTAAGTAGTGAAATAAAATGGGAATGATACAGGGATCACAGGGATCGAGTCTGTAAAGGATCTTTCTGGGCAGTTCGTGGTGAGATCTATCTAAATTGTCATTGATAAAGCTTCGTTTTCCCCCCTTGTGTGTAATAAGCTTGTGTTCTTTTATTAAAAGCACATTAGCAGTCTCTTGTGACTATTTCAGTGACTGACCACCACAGTAAACAAATTGCAAAAACAAAACTTACGGTCTAATAAGCCAGGATTCACTCTAGAATCTGACTTTTCTAGTATTACCATCAGCTGGGAACAAAGTAGGAGCTCTGGGAGAGAAAACCATTGAAGATCTGTAAAGAATCGAGTACATGACGATACTGTGCATAAAAGCAGGACTTGTTGGAAAGTATATTACAAAGATTGGAATTTCAAAATAAATTTGACTGTTCCAAAGATTTTTCTTGGGGTAGAAAATTTAACAATGAATTAATTGAAATCTTTGACTAAAGCTAAACTGAGAGAAATAGTGAATTAAGAAAAACAGGATCTCTAATAAAGGAGATAAATGTCTATTTATTCATTTAGAAGCAAAGGAGGTAATCCTGAATTGTCACCACTAGTAGCAGCTAGGATTCAGTTTAAAACTAATCAAACTCCAGTGGAATTGATTATGTATCAGGAAAATATAGGCTAAAATACTAAAAGATTGATTGGCCAGGATTATATTAACATAGTCAAATTTTACTAGACATATTCAGAATCATAGAATACCTACAGTGTGGAACCAGGCCATGAGAGAATGCAGACACAGAGAGAATGTGCAAACTCCACACAGACGGTCACCTGAGGGTGGAATTGAAACCAGATCCCTAGCGCTGTGAGGCTGCCGTGCTAACCAATGCACCACCATGCCGCCCATGTGTCTTGTCGTGGGGAAATACTAGCCAATTAAACCTACGCGTTTAAATCTAACGTAAGCTTTTGAAGACCTATTTAGCAATATCTTACTGATTTGTGAAGGACCCCAACCTAAATAGAATTGGGCATCAGTATCTTTTAACATTTCAACAGACTTTCTGAGGCAGTGGCTTTTGGAAAAGGAATAGTAAAAATGGTATTGGAAACCTCTTAGCCGAACTCGTCCTCACACTCAACAACTTCTCTTTCAATTCCTCCCACTTCCTACAGACAAAGGGGGTAGCCATGGGTACCCGCATGGGCCCAAGCTACGCCTGCCTCTTTGTAGGTTACGTGGAACAATCCCTTTTCCGTACCTACACCGGCCCTAAACCCCACCTCTTCCTCCGTTACATTGATGACTGTATCGGCGCCGCCTCGTGCTCCCACGAGGAGCTCGAACAGTTCATACACTTCACTAACACCTTCCACCCCAACCTTAAGTTTACCTGGACCATCTCTAACACCTCTCTCCCCTTCCTGGACCTCTCTGTCTCCATATCGGGCAACCACCTAGAAACCGATATTCATTTCAAGCCCACCGACTCCCACAGCTACCTAGAATACTCCTCCTCCCACCCACCTTCCTGCAAAAATGCTATCCCCTATTCCCAATTCCTTCGCCTCCGCCGCATCTGCTCCCAGGATGAGGCATTCCACTCCCGTACATCTCAGTTGTCCTCGTTTTTCAAGGACCGTAACTTCCCCTCCTCGGTGGTCGAGAACGCCCTCAACCGTGTCTCCCACATCTCCCGCACCTCATCCCTCACACCCCGTCCACGCAATAAGAACCAAAAAAGAATCCCCCTCGTCCTCACGTACCACCCCACCAACCTCCGGATCCAACGCATCATCCTCCGACACTTCCGCCATCTGCAATCCGACCCCACCACCAAAGACATCTTTCCCTCCCCACCCTTATCTGCTTTCCGGAGGGACAACTCTCTCCGTGACTCCCTTGTCCGCTCCACACTCCCCTCCAGCTCCACCACACCCGGCACTTTTCCCTGCAACCGCAGGAAGTGCTACACCTGCCCCCATAC